TGTGACGCTGCTACGGTTTCACTTGCTACTGCGTGCGATTCGCAATCCACAGCACGACGGTGATGAGCGGCGAGGTCGAGAGTGAGGCCAGGAGCTTGCGGTTGAGTGGAAGGCCAAAGATCTTGATGGGCCGTGGCGTGTTGAACTTGATCGCCTTTTCGAGCGTCCGCATCACCCGCTGCAGGTGCTTGGCGGCAAGATCGAGCTTGTACGGCGAGAGCTGTCGGATTGGTGGCACCATGCGGCTTGCTTTGTGCCCGCCGCGATTGCTGCTTGACGAGGACGAGGATGAGACCCACCACCGCTGTCCGTCCGAGTCGTCGGAGCCGCTGCCACCATGCCCATGGTTGTGCGCGTGCATCTTCATCGACGCCAGCTGCGCCTTGATGTTGTCAAGGTACCACAAACAGCGGAGTCTCGTTCCGATCACCAGGCAAGTCGATGAGAGCGCCTCGCTCCAGCAGCATGGGCACAGCATGAACTAAACCATAACGCGCCGCCATATGAAAGACACCGATGATATCCTTTTCCGCAAAATTGACGGATGCGCCAGCATCAAGCAGGAGCGCCACCTTGTCCAACTCGTTCAGCGACATGGCCACGGCTGCGAGCGGAGCGACGTCCTGGTAGCAGGAGTCGAGCGAGACCCGGGTGGCGACCTGAGAGAGAAGGGCCTTCAACTTGTTGGCGCTTCCGTACCGCACCACATCCAGCAACTGGTTCAGTATATTCTCCTCCCTGCGTCCTACTCTCCCCCATGCGCTTCCCGCATACGACAACCTGTGGTCACAGGTAGGTCGGCTCTGGCTCGGTCTCTGGCTCCCGCCCGCTCGCTCGCCCTGTTGTGGTCCACCACCGCGACCTCGTCGGGCTCTTCTTTGGTATTGTCCCTTGCGTCTGGCCATGGTGCGGGAGGGGGTGGGGTGAGGTGTGTAGGTAGTGTGGCCAGGTGCCGTCTATGGCCATCCTGTCGTCTGGTCACATCTCCTCGCCGACCCGCGTCTCCATCCGTGACCAGACGACAACTTGGCCATTCGGTACGGCAGGCCACCCGGACGTGGTTGTGCTGCTTCTCACCGACGAGCGCGTTGATCCATCAGCGTAGGACCAATGCAATGCAGCTTTCCGAGGCACACGTAGCTGTGCGGGAGACCAAGTCGTCGCGCTCCTCTTCGCTGACGATCGTGTCATGTGCTTCGGGCTCCGCCTCGGGCTCCGCTTCGGACTCGTTGTGACGCTGCTACGGTTTCATTTGCTACTGCGTGCGATTCGCAATCCACAGCACGACGGTGATGAGCGGCGAGGTCGAGAGTGAGGCCAGGAGCTTGCGGTTGAGTGGAAGGCCAAAGATCTTGATGGGCCGTGGCGTGTTGAACTTGATCGCCTTTTCGAGCGTCCGCATCACGCGCTGCAGGTGCTTGGCGGCAAGATCGAGCTTGTACGGCGAGAGCTGTCGGATTGGTGGCACCATGCGGCTTGCTTTGTGCCCGCCGCGATTGCTGCTTGACGAGGACGAGGATGAGACCCACCACCGCTGTCCGTCCGAGTCGTCGGAGCCGCTGCCACCATGCCCATGGTTGTGCGCGTGCATCTTCATCGACGCCAGCTGCGCCTTGATGTTGTCAAGGTACTGCTGCAGATCGGCGATGCGGAACTCCTCCAGGAACTGGTTCTCCTTCTCCGGTAGCTCGGCGATGGAGAAAGAGGCGGTGACGGTAAAGGCGAGAAAGACGACGATAAGGACTGCGCTGATGATGCCGTACACCGCAAGCTCATCGAATGGATGGTCACTCTGGACCTCGCTCACCAAGACACGCAAGCCAAAGACGACAGCAAAGGCAACGAGAAAAATGACCGAGAAGACGAAGATCGGGTGGACGAGAGCCGAGACAAGCGAGTCGCGGTCCCACTGCCGGATCTCGCGCTTCATCCGCAGCCACATGAGAATGCTTCCGGAAGTGTTGAGCTTGAGCTCGAGGCCCTCGCCCGATGAGCTGCTGCTGTCGTCGGCGTCCACAACTTTGATGCCACCGTTGTCGTCACGGACGAGGTTAAACGCCACCAGCAAGCCGCGGTAGATCTTCCAGTAGTGGGCGGCAATGGCGACGGCAGCAAGGAGAAAGGCAAGGGCAAAGACGAAGATCGAGTACGCCGACGAGACCACAATGAGCTTGTCGTACGTCGCGCCGCGGCCAAAGAACTCTGGATGCTCCAGCGAGCGGTCGCCCGGATTGATGACGCGGTGCAGCGGGCCGGTAAGTGCAAGCCCAAGCGCGGCCGTCGCGGCCGCAAGACCCACAATGGCCCGCGACCATCGCGCCTTGATCAGCCGCGAGTCACGCTTGATCTTGCGCAGCAGCAGCCGGTTGTCGATCATGTTCGTCTCGGCAGCCACCTGCCTGCTATCGCGGAGGTCGTTCTTGTAGGCGAAGCCGTCGCGGAGGTAAAAGTTGATGTCGCGGAGGTACCGCTCGTTGTTGGCCATGTCGTACACGGCGCCGGTGTCGGAGAGCCGCGACGAGAGCGAGAGGTTGTAGACGCAGACGACAACAACAACAAGCGCGGCCGGCGCAAAGACCTCCACCGACGAGATCGAGACCTCCTCAAAGTATACCACGTACAGCAGTATGTTCATCCACGCCAGATACGGAAGGAGAACGGCGGCGAGCGAGAACCAGAACATGTACCGCTTGTTCCGTTTCTCCGTCTTGGTCTGCCCGCCGTCGTCATCGCTCGAGCTGTCATCCGACGCCGTTCCCATCATCCCCACATTACGAGAGTCGGACGATCCGCTCTCGCTATCGCTCTCGCTTTCTCCAGCGTGGCCGTAGCGGAGCCGTGCAAGCCATCTCGGCAGCTTTGCCCCGCACACGTTGTAGATGTCGACGACGAGGAAGACGGTAAAGGCGATGGGCGCCACAATCAGGACGGCCACAACCCACACCAGGCCCATGATCACCTCCTTCAGCCCCTTCCAGAACTTGGTATCCTTCACATTAAAGGTGTCAATGCGGAAAACAGACGTGCTCGACGTGCTCGACATGGTCGACGTGCTCGATGTCATGCCTTTCCAACTGGCTGACGAGCTGCTGCTCGACCCGCCCACACCTCGACCGCGCTGGAATTGCATGCCACCGGGGAGAGACACTGGCCCAGAGAGAATCCTTGCCAGTTCCACTGCCGGTGAGGATGTTGAGTGTGAGTTCCTCCCGCAACAAGCCACCGTGTGTGACTCGCTGTCGCTGCGGTGCTGCCGCATGCGTTTGGGGCTCTCTCCTTTGCACCTAGCAAAGAAAGGGCCACTGGCGCCCGAAAAAAATTGGCTGAAAAAAAGGCGTGAGGGCTTTAGCATGGCCAACGGCCGTGGTGTGTGGGGGAGGGGGAGGGGAAGACTGACGATAGTGGAGAAATATTTGGCTTTCGGGCTCTTACTCTGTGTGTAAGGAAATGTGCAGGAGGGATGGATGATGGCACAAACGAGCACGCAACGACAGCACAATCACGACCTGCAGTCTGTATCCCGTAGCATGCAGCGTGGGGTGCCATCCATCCATTCATTTCTCTAGGCTTCACAGCCATACCCTCACTCGCCTCAGCTTGCTTCTCCCCCGGTCGATCGACTTCCCTTTCCTTCCACTTCCCCTTGCCAATGAAACGCCCCAAGCCAACCACGCTCCACATAGCGCCAATGGCCATCATAACCCTCCCCATGGCCAGCCACCACCATGCTCGCTCCCATCACAGCTGCAGACATGCCCATCATGGCGGCAGCGATGATCACCTACCTTTCCTTTGCCACGGCACTCATTGCGGCAAAGCGGCTCGGGTGGCGACTAGGTCGAAGACCGAGGGCACACTCGCGGCCACACTTGGCTCCAGGGAGCGGGAGAGAGCTACGGTCACCATGTCTGTCAAACTCCATGTTCAACACGTACCTGTGGGTGACCCATTTTCGAGGTGCTGTTGGGGAGTGTTGGTGGTCCAGACAAGGTCGGGACCGTGTCCGGCATGTCCGACAACGACACGCTGGTTGCGTTGGTGCACCGATGCCCGCATCTGAAGTGCATCGATTTGACTGAAAGCGGCGAGGACATCACCGATAGCGCACTCATGGTAGTTGCTGTCGACTGCCATGGACTTGAGGTCCTTGTTCTCAACAACTCTTCCGCCATCACCGACGACGGCCTACTCGCTGTCGTCCGCAACTGCCGGCATCTACGAACTGTGCTCATCAAGTTCTGCCGAACATCTCGTCCGACATGCCAGATATCATCGCCAGTGTGAACCCCAATGTGACGGTGACCATGACGGGTCCTTTGCGCTACGAGTCAGCGCATGCTTTGGCTCGACTCGAATCGAGATCCACGCTTGCCGCTGCGCCTATGACTCGGCAACTTCACGGCTTTCTGTGGAACTCCGATGAGGTGCTCCCCATCGCAGCAGCCACAACCACTCCAACAGGCAATCTTAGGAGGCATGTTTGGTGGGGGCGGCGGTGATGACGGTGGTTCGACATCCAAGTCCTTGGGGGATCCCGGTCGGCAGCCCCTGGCCACTTCGATTACCAATAGGTACCAGTCTGCCGGCTCATCGCCTACCAGCAGTCCGCCGCCGACATCGTCTCAGACAAACGAAGAAAGCGCTTCTGGAGGCTACATGGCGTCACCATCGTTTATCCAGCCGCCAGCTACAAACATTTCCGGTAGGAAGTGGGACGTGTTCATCTGCCACGGCGGCGGGGACAAGGGTATCGCCAGAGATCTCTACAACAACCTCACCGGTCGCGACCTCCGTGTCTTTCTTGACATCAAGTCGCTTGACGGTGAGCGCTGCGCAACCCCGCGTGACATGGTTGCCCACGTCAAGGCGTCATCGGTCGTTCTCGTCCTTGTTTCCAAGTTCCTCATTGTTTCGCGCTGGGCCATGGCTGAGGCCAAGGCCGCAGTGGATGCTGCCGACGCCAACCGTGGCAAGGTCTTCTCTGCCATCATCGGCAGCGACATTACGTCGACCACGCTCCGCAACATGAAGGAGCATGATGTCAACAGCATCGACCATCCGCTCATCCACGCCATGGACAACTTCTTCCAAACCGACGCCCATCACGATCAGTGGTCCAACTGGCGGCACGAAAAGTTCACCCCTGCCCACAAGACCGATCACGTCGCCACTGTCTTCCGCCTCCTCGAGTACGGTTTCGCCCCGTTTGGTCCCAGTGACCAGCCGTCGGAAATCGTGAGCGAGATCGCCAAGCGAACACGCATCTTGGCGACAGGCTCCCCGTAGACTAACCAACCCGATCCAAGCTCAGATCATTTGTCCCCCAAAGTGCGACGATGTATGTGTGTGTGGGGGGGGGGGGGGGGGATGCAGACAGGGAGGGTGTGTGTTTGGGCAAAAAGAAAAAAGAATGCGTTACTCGGTATTCCCGTGTGGTCCCCCACCACAGTACTAACCAAGCCTCATGCTGCTTGACTTCCGAGAGCGAGACGGGATCGGGTATTTTCAGCATAGGATGAACGCATTCAGAACCAGAGTGACTGGCTGAGCATTTTATTGGTTTGGCGACAAAATTAGCCACTTGCCAAATGGGTTGAGGACAGACTCCCCCTATTCGTAGAGATCGGCCTGAGTGTAGAAGGTGGACGGATCAAATTTGGCCCAGTTGGGGAAGATGGCCGGCATGTGCTCGTCGGCGACGCCGAACCACTGAGCGATGCCGTGCCACATGGCCTCCCACGGCATGGTGGGCAGGACGCGACCCTTGTCGATGATCTGCGGGCCATCGTCAGAGAACTTGTTGATGTACTGGCCGAGCACCCGCTCACCGCGAAGCCCGCCACCAAGAATGACTGTGTTGCCGCCCCACGCGTGATCGGTGCCCTTGCCGTTGTTCTTGAGCGTCCGGCCAAACTCGGACATGAGGACGATGGTGGTGTCGTCCCACACGTTCTGCAGCTTGAGCTCCTGGATGAGTTGGCCGAGCGGGGTGTCGACAGCACCGATGGCGCCGTTGAGATCGAGGCTGTTGTGAGTGTCAAAGTTGGTGGCGGTGGCGTAGTAGATACCGCGCTCCTGACCGTCGCCGCGAGCGCCGATGATGAGCTCGGCAACACGCTTGATCTGGCGGAAGGTGAGACCTGAGCCGGACCATGAGTTGAGAAGCGAGACGGTGGCGAGCTGCTGGTTGATTTTTTCGGTCGAGTTGAGAGCAGAGTCGAGCTGGTCGCCAAAGAGGTCGGTGAGTGGCGTCGCCTCCTTGCGGGCAAGCAGCTTGTTGACGACCGGTCGGACGTCGTCGCGGTTGTTGAGCGTCTCGATCGAGGTGCCTGTTCCCACAATGTCGTACGAGACCTTGGTTCCGCTCATCGCCCGCGTTGCGCCGCGGACCGACTGCATGACAAGAGAGTAGGTGTCGGCGATGGTGGTGGAGAGGACGTCGGCGATGCGAGCCAGGACACCCGATCCGCGGAGTGAGCCTGGGTCACACGTCCGCCCGTGGAGCTGCATCGAGCTGTGCGAGTAGAGCGAGACAGGGAGGCCGACGCGCTTCTTACGGTACTGCTCGAGGGTGGTCGGCTCGACGAGGGCGCCGATGTTGGCAAACCAGAGCGCATCGCCGTCATCGTAGGCCTGCTTGACGTTGGCAAAGGCCGGATGCATGCCAAAGGTAGAGCATGGCTGCGGATCGCCGCCGTTGTTGGTGACCGGGAGGAGCGAGCCTGTGTCCATCGCGGCCCCGCCACGGACGGACTCGTACTCGGCACGGACGCCGGCATCACAGGTGAGCGGCTCAAGGGCAGCGAACGAGTCGAGCCCACCCTCGAGGAAGATCATTACAAGGGCCTTGAACGGGCGGGTGCTGCCCGATGTGGTCGAGGACTCGGCCCGCGACCGTTCGGTCGGCTGGGCCACGTTGGTGGTGTAGAACTCGGGCGCGGCGATCATGATCTTGGCCGTCCGGCGGATGGCAGCAGCGCGGCCAGACTCGGCGTCGACCCGCTCAAAATCAGTCAAGAGCGTGGTGTGCGTGGCCATGCCCGGCAGGATCCGCCCGCCGGTAAGGACAAGCGAGAGCTCGTCGACGATGTCGGCGGCGGTCGAGGCAGCGTGCTTGGTCGCTGCGTTCTCAAGCGCGTCGAGGTAGCCATCAGCGTACGGCTTGGGATCGCCGCACCCGTACGTCCGCAGGTCGTCGCCAAACCCGCTAGCGCAGTGGGTGAGGCCGTAGTCCATGAGCGAGTGGATGCCGTTGAGCAGCGAGACCATGATGGGCGGGGTGGCGAGCTGGGCAGCTGGAGAGAAGAGGCCTTCATCGAGCATGCGCCCGGACGGCTGGTATTCGGGCAGATAGAAGGAGAAAACCGATGGCGCAGTGAGCGGCTGCATGGCGATGGGAGACGAAGTCTGCAGCTGAAGCTCGCGCTTGATCGGCGACTGGTAGTCCAGCCCCCGGAGGACGCGATGGAGGAGCATGAGAGGATCGTTGACCATGCCAAACGAGGTGTCGGCCAACAGGACGTCGGACCGGGCCTCGCGATCGGTGAGGATGGCAAAGATGGCGGCGCCGAGATCGCCGTAGGTGTTAGAGAAGGCATGGACGGTGCCATCGCGAGTGGTGACCGAGCCGGTCCGGAAGGCCTTGACCACCTTTTCCATGTACCGTGGCGACGGGTTCGATGTGACCAGGTTCTGGATGAGACGCCAGCAGACAAACGGCGCGGTGGCATCGTGCTCGACCAGCATCTCGAGCAAGGCGCTGACCTCATCGTGCGCCGTGTGGGCGAACATACCGAGGCTATCGTAGTCGGCGTTAAAGACTTTGCCAAAGCCGACAAAGCGGGTAAAGGTCGGCGCGTTGCGGAAGGAGTAAGCATCGCCGTCGCCGAGGTAGACCGTCGAGACCCGGTTGAGGATGAAGCGCGGCCGACCGCCCAGGCGGAAGGCCGGGAGCGCAAAGATGGTACGCGCTGAGAAGCTGCCACCATCGCCCGAGTGAAGCCAGATGGTGGCGCCTGTGGTGTTGGCCACAGACTTGCACACATCGGTGGTGCACTCGGCGTACACACCCGCACCGTACATTGACGGCGCGGTGGCGCCGATGTGGACGTTGGCGAGGAGATCGGCCGACGTGGCGTTGATCAACTGCTCCGGAGAAGTGTAGACGACCGAGTCGACGACGCGTGTGGAGCAGATGCACGAGACACCATCGGCCGTGGGCTCGGCATCACAGCCGGCAGGGCAGACGCCGTCGATGGCGAGGAGCGGGTCCGAGTTCCAGACGACGCGGAAAAAGTTGTTGGAAGACTTTTGCAGCACCTTTTCGGTGCTGAGAGCGATATCGTCGACGACGCCGACGCGGCCGCTGGCGTAGATCTGAGCCTTGATGGAGCAGTTGGAGTTGGCCCAGTAGCTCGAGCGATCGAGACAGGTCCTACCCCAACCACCGTTGGTGATAGTGTGATCGCAGAGAACAGCACCGGCAGCGGAGCAGCGCGCGACGGCCTCAGTGTGGCTCACCTTCTCGTGAATAAAGTTGCAGATGCCCGGGACGACGGTCATAGAGCGGGTGTTGGTCGGCGAGCAGCAGAGCGGCATGGCGGCCGGGGTGACGGGGTTGGCGCACGTCCGATGGTAGCGGGAAGAGACAGTCTCGCCGCCGTTGAAAAAGGCGAGACGGACGCAGGGGACCGAGTTGGCGCGGTAGTACATGGAGACGTTGCCGATAGGATCGATGATCTTGACAGTCACCACCTCGCCAGCGTCGCACTCCTGGTTGCCGACGCAGGGCACGGTCTCCTGAAGAACGGGCGCGGCCGGGAAGGTGCAGGGAGATCCGGGGGCCATGCGACCACAAAGCGCCTCAAAGAGGCCGGATGAGCCGTCTGAGACCGGAGTGAGCGGCTCAAGGCGGTGCTCGTTGCCATCGAGGTAGCTCGAGCCCGAGGTCGGGCCAACGAGCGTGTAGCGTGCGCCCTTGTTGAGCCACGGCTTGCCCGGCAGCTCATCGCAAATCGGGTAGGTATCACCGATGTACCCGCCGCCGGCCGAGGCGAGGCGGAGCTTGGGCATGCGATCGTGGTAGACCGGGTTGATGAGCATGGCATCAGCGCCGACGTCCTGCTCCGGCGTCCCGATGAGGTTGCGGCGGTAGGTGTAGCCCTCAAAGCCGGTCCAAACCCGGGCGTAGTCGACAATGTCTTCCTGGCCGTAGGTAGGAAGCTCGTTGCCGGCAGCATCGCGCTTGGGCGTGCCGTCGTCGTTGAGCTCAACAAGGCCGATGGAGAAGAGCTGCATGATCTCGCGAGCGTAGTTCTCGTCGGGGAAGGTGCCCGATGAGGCATAGGCACGCGAGCCCTCGTAGGTGAGGTACGATCCCATGTAGCGGTGGTAGGAGACATCCTTGAGGATGGTGGCAAACGATCCAAAGGCGTTGCGGGTAAAGATGTCGTAGTACTTGAGGAAGCCCTCGGCCTTGTCGCGATAGCCCGAGATGGGGCCGGTGGCGAGAACGATGAAGTTTGAGAGCGAGAAGGCGACGCGCTGGCGGAGCTGATCGTTGGCCTTGTGCATGACGTTGGAGATGCCGTACTCGGTCGTCCGCTCGAGCTTCATCGGCGAGTCGACCGATTTCTCGGCAAGATAGCGCTGGGGCGGCCGGTTGTAGACGTACGTCGGGTAGTACTCGCCGTACTCGGGCTTGTTCATGACTTCGTCGTAGCTCCCGCAGGCGATGGCGCCTCCGACAGGCGCCTCAGCGAGGGCGCCAACGGCGAGCGCAAGATCGATGGTCTTGAGCTGCGAGGCGATGTCGCCAAACGCGAGCGAGTCGCCGAGGCGGCCAACGGCGGGCATCTGAACCCTGTGCTCGGCCCAGCGGCTCATCGGGTGCGAGGCCGGGTAGTACAGCTCGGTGCCGCCGTCGCGGGCAAAGCGATCGATGGGATTGGGGTTGCCAGCGCCTGCAGCAGCGGCATTGCCCGGATGGTTGACATTCCAGTCGGTGACGTCGCGGACGGTGTACTCATCGGGGTGGACGTGCTGCCAGCAGAACGAGTCTGCGGCGACACGAGCGCCGATGGTGGCGGTGTTGGTCGCGTCGCAACCAGCATCAGAGACGACAACATCGCGGAGGAGCGAGTTGGCCTTGTCGGTGGTGGCAGTGAGCGCGTTGGTGATGGCGGCCTTGGTAGCAGTGTTGAGGCCGGGCGTCTCGGCACAGGAGCCAGCGGCGCCCACGTTGACCCAGCGCGATCGGCCGCCGGTGCAGGGCGAGGTGGCGTACTCGCCCTCGAGGCGGAGACCGCGAACAGAGTAAACGATGCGACGGCGGGAGATGTCATCGTTGTACCAGGTGCGAAGAACAGAGGCATCGAGATCAAAGTTAACCGAGGTGAAGACCGGCGGCGAGCCGCACTCTGGGCGGATGGTGCACCCACGGGCGTTCTGGTAGTCAAGCGGAGCGGTGGGGCAGGTGGCACCCTCGGGCAGGCCGGTCGACGGCTGGTCAACGGTGTTGGTGATGAGGCGGATGCGCGGATCAAAGCGGAAGAACTCACCGTCACGGAGCATGTAGGTGTTGCCGGCGGGGTCGGTGCCGACGACGCAGCCGGGCGTCCGATGAGCGACGACGAAGACGCCGTTCTTGGCGATGTTGACGGGAGTAAAGTCAACCTCGGCGGCAGTAACAGTCTGCAGCGCGTTTGCACCTGAAATGCGCGCGCCGCTGTCGCCAAACTCGATGGCCGGGTTGGTGATAGTGTACGGCGAGTCATACGTATTGATGCGGCCGCAGGTGACCGAGGCGCTGGAGGAGGTCGGCTTGAGGCGGATGCGGTTGCCAAGCCCCTCTTCGACACAGTAGATCTTGTACTCGGACGAGGCCGGGAACGATCCCGGATGAGTCTCGTTGTACCACTTGGAGAGCTCCGCGCGGAGCTCGCCGTCGATGTAGAGTGAGTAGCGACCAGGCGCATCACCGGTGGTGACGGTCAGCGTCTTGCCGTTGTCGAAGAAGTTGAAGAGAAACTGGTGCCAGCGGGCGCCGTAGTCGCACGCCTTGGTGAGGTGGCCGGTCTGAAAGGCGCCGTCAAAGTAGCGCCCATTGGACCGCTGGCGGACGTAGGCTCTCGCCGAGGTCCGCGGGATGGCCATCTGGTCCTTGACCCAGCGAGCGACGTCGTCGCCGTAGGTAGAGGCTGTCGCCGTGATGGTCTCGATGGTGGCGCCAAAGGTGGCCTGGCTGAGAAGACGGGCAGCCCTGTGACGCGGCGAGACGGCGGTGAGCGGGGCCGGGATGTCAATGCTGGTGGCGTTGGACGGCGGCGAGGCGGTGAGAATGTAGCACACGCCGTCGGCGTCGCAACGGACCGGGACAGTGGCGCGATCGTTGCGCGGGGTCGGCTCCCAGGGGAAGCCATCGTACGATCGGGCGACGGTGCAGTCGCAGGCGGGGTCCTTGACCGTCAGCAGCTGGCCAGGAGGCGCCGGCGGTGGGAGGGCAAAGCCCTCGGGCGGCGGCGGAGAAGTCGGCGAGAGCGAGTTGTCTGCCGATGAAGAGGACGATGCAGCCTTGTCGTTGTTGAGGAGGAGGACGAGGGCGACGGTGGTGCCTGCGGCGAGGACAAAGCAGACCGCAGCGATGGCTGAAAAAAGCAGCGCCCGGCTCTTGGAGCAGCACGGCTGCTTGAGCGCCTTTTCGTACTCGAGGAACTCAGTCGTGGTCATGTCTGTTTCAAACATAGACGTCGTTGCCGGCGTGTTGGCCAGCGACGTCATTTGGAGGGCATAGTCGTCCGCATTCGCAGCAGCCGAACTCATCTGCGGAGGTGGTGGTGGAGCGAGCAAAAATTTGTGTGAGGACGGAGGGGTGGGTAAGGGCATGGGTATGGAGAAGGGGGGTGGAGGGGGGAAGGAGAAGAGAGTGAGGGGTGGGGGACATGCGGGGCGTGGGGTTGGGAGGGTTGGGAGGGGAAGGAGGGGGGGAGGGTGCGTACGCTTGTGAGTCGAGACAAGAATGCGAGTGTGTGATGCGTCGCGTCTGCACTGCGTTGTTGGGATGGAATGCACGTGATAGCGGGGGTTTGGTTTTTTTTCGCGAGAATTCGGTTGACGGGTGGGCAACGGGCGTGGAGGGGGAAGGGAGGGGAGGGGAGGGGGAAGGGAGGGGAGGGGAGGGGGAAGGGAGGGGACTGTGGAATGCGGGATGCGGAGGGGGGGTGGGGGGGTGGGGGGGTGGACGGGGAGTTCACGGCAGACCTACCGTGGTTGGTCCTCACCTCGCCGTGTGGCGGAGGCTGGCCGACAGGCGACCGAGTGTTATTGATGGATATTCGCTGGATGCTTCGAACGCGAGCCTGTTGCCGACGGTCTCCCAAAGTCAAGCTGTCCGTCGGCCGACATTGCATCTCCACTCGTGGCGGCGTAGGTTTTGGTGAATAGGCCGCAGGATGGCCTGGTGGTATGGGCTGGGTGGACAAGTGATGCGGGTGTGCGGATACATTGCACTGCTCAGCCAAGGCCAAGCTGTCCGTCGGAGAGGTAGTGTGAGCCACCGGCGCACTGGTACCCACCGGCGATCTTGTTCCAGCGGAAGCCGGCGCAGCAGACGCCGGCCTGTCGGATCCGCTTCTGCGCGAGCGCCTCGCGCTGCGCTGCTTCTAGCGCGCGTCGACGCTCGGCAGCGATTGCCTCCTGCCGTGCTCGCTCAGCCGCCAGCCGCCGCATCTCCTCTTCCTGCGCCAGACGCTCTGCCTCTGCACGCTGTCGCTCGGCTTCGGCCGCAGCCTCTTCTGCCGCTCTCAGCTCTGCCGCCAGACGCTCGGCCTCGGCCTGCTCGGCTGCCATATCGGCGTAGACTTGCTTCTCGATCTCGGCCTGGCTCAGCCCGATGACGTCGACACCTTTGTCCAGCTGTTTTGCTCGGACGGCAGGATCCAGCCGCCAGTCCGAAGCACGAGGCTGGTCATCAGCATCGCCGCCTTCATCACCGTCTGAGTCGGGCAGATACTCGACCCGGACCTCTCGAATTGCCTGCCGCGGCGGCGGTGCGCTGTGGCGCAGCTGCGCAGAGGCAAAATCAAACGCGTCGGGATGCTAGCGGACGTTGGCGGCGACACTCTCGCCCTCGGGTTGGTGCTTGAGGAGGGCGGCCATGGCGGCGTTGGCGTCGTCAAAGACAAACTCGGGCTCGATCTCGGGTGTGTCATACACCCGCCCTGCCCGCGCCTCGACCATCTCCTCGTAGGCCGAGACAGCGTCGCGGGCGTTGGCCCATCCGGGACGAGAGAGAAGAGCGGCAAAGCCGGAGCGGAGCTCGGCCGGTACGCCGCCATCGGGGCGGATGGTAAAGCCAGTCGCCTGGGCCCGCCGCGCCACAAAGGTGGTGCAGTCGTCGGCGGTCCAGTCCGGAAACTCCCATGTCTTGCGGAAGCGCGACTTGGCGCCCGGATTGGTGTCGAGCATGGCAAGCATGTTGGCCTTGTAGCCGGCGAGGATGACGACTGTCTTGCCGTCGGCGTGCTTGGGATCGGTGACGCACGAGATGAGCTCGGTGAGTGCCTCCTCCCCGAAGACGTTCTTGCCCAGCTCGTATGCCTCGTCACCGGGGGTGGTGGTGGAGGGGGTGATGGTGGAGGGGGTGGGGGTGATGGTGGGGGTGGTGGGGGTGATGGGGGTGGGGGTGGTGGTTGCGCAGCCGCCGGAACCGCCATAAGCCAGCCCATACCCAACAGCCACAATTGCAGCCACAACCACAAACAACGACGGTCGTTTCGTGAGGCCATGCTGATGGAGATGAGGATGGTGGTGGGGATTGGATCGGCGCCGGAGTTCTTGACGTTCTTGTTGCTGTCTGCGCTGCGGTCACTGGTCTTGGATTTCGTCCGCTCGTTGACCTTGACCACATGCGGCCAACGTTGGTCCTGGTGGGCCCAGCCCGCCCGCCATCCTCACCATCCCTACTCGCTGGCGCCCGCTTCACCGGCATCCATTCCATCTGGCTCGCATCGACCATTTTTGGCCGGGCTCTGGCCCATGCCTCCATCATCGAGCCGATCGATATTCTCCGGATCTCGCTTCCTGTCTCATCCAGTTCATCATCTGCTCCACAGCCGTACCCGGCTCGCGCGAACGGTCGGTCCTCGACCACTCGGGCGCGCTCTGCTGCACGCCCGAGTAGTGGTTGTACCTTCCGGTGGCGCACATCGTCAGCATGGCGGTGGTCATCGGGCTTCCGGCCACGGCCGCCATGGCCCTCGCCCGTCCGCATGCAGATCGTCCACCGTCACGTCCCGCCGCACTCGTGGTACGTCCTCGCCGTCTTTTACGCCGTCGCTTCGATCATCGAGGGCGTCGGCCTCTGGGTCAAGCACTCCATCGCCGCCTCGGCCCTCCTCGTCGACCACAGCGACGGCGACGAATCGGCCGCCGAGCGCGACAGCCTTGTCTTTTGAAGCAGCGATGAGAGCAATGTCGAGGGTGACGACGTCCACGATGCGCGCACCGGTAGCCACATCGCTACTTTTGGCTTGGGCAGAGCCGACGTCCCACCCGTCTCAGGCCGCGCCGTCCACCGCAGGATCTCCGACCTTTCGCGCGGTGGAGCGCGCCGGTGGTGACGACAATCGCGCCAAGCTGCGGCTTTGCCAGCGAGTTTGCCCTCGCGCTCTTCCTGGCCGCCGCCGATCTTGCCGACGGCGACGTCCTGCTCATCCTGCCTTTGATCGTCGTTGAGCCCCCGCCGTTCCCTTGCGTGTTTCTGGCCGATACAAGCGGCACCGCAGCCAGAGCCGAGGGGTGGTGTTCTGCCTCGTCGATAAGACGTGGTCACTGCGGCGCCCGCGGGCGCAGCGATCGGCCTTGGTCCTCGTGCTGTTTTACCAGAGGAGGAAGAAGACCAAGGCGCGCGACGGTGAAGCAGACGCTGCAGGCGGTGGTGATGGAGGCGGTGGCCGATGTATGCAAACGCGCGCAACGTGGTCACCATCTTGCACGGGACTTTCATCGCGTCAGGCATCGGCGTCATGCCGTACGCGTCGATTGCCCAGACCTCATCCACAGCGCTCCGCACGGAGCGCAGGCGCGCGTGCAGGCAATCTCGTTATGGTGGACCACCCGCCCGCTCAACGACTACCAGAGGCAGCCAGATGTGCTTGCCGAATCGTCGCCGCATCGGCTTATTCACGAGATCCGGATCATTGTCTCGGGCGTGTTGCCGTCGGCTCCCGCAGTTTCCCTACACGCTCGGCTAACGCTGCGGCACATCACAAAGCCTCCACGCTGCTGGGCGTGTTTTACTGCGGCATCGCGTCGCCCGCGGACGATGTCCCGGCGGCGGTGTGGACGCTGCGGCACACCACGAGGAGAGATTTTGAGCCGTAGGACTAGCGGCGTGCTTGGAAGATGGTGATGGCCTTGTCGACGTGCTGGAGGATGTTGGCGCGGTCGGCCTGGAGGGCGGCGATGTTGCCCGTGGCGATGGTGACGTGATCCCTGACGTCGGCGAGCTCGGCCTTGGTGTCGGCGAGCTCGGCCTTGGTATCGGCGAGCTCGGCCTTGGTGTCGGCGAGCTCGGTCCTGGTGTCGGCGAGCTCGACCTTGGTGTCGGCGAGCTCGGCCTTGGTGTCGGCGAGCTCGGCCTCGAGTTTGTCCACGCGAGTGGAGGACCCAGCAGAGGCGCCTGCACCGCCGCCAATGTCGCCACCAGCAGCGATGGTCTCACGGACGTGGTCAGCAACACGCTCCGGGATAGAGCTTGTACCAACGATGAGGTTGTAGACTTCTTTTGCAGCCGCGTTGGTGTCGCTTCCAGGCTTGTTGAGCACAGCCGAGGCAATTGACATGGCCGTCTCGCCGTTGGTCCCGAGAGCCCACACATCGGCACCCGCGGCGAGCAGTGCCATGGTTGCGAGGATGTTGGAGGGCGAGACAGCGATGTGGAGCGGGCGCAGTTCAAGGGACGGCTCGAGGGCATTGATGTCGGCGCCGGAGTTGATGAGGAAGGTGAAGACTGGGATGGAGAACGGGATTGTGTCTGCGGCATGAAGGACGATGAAGAGGGCGAGGGTGGCCTTATTGATGCCGCTGGTTAGCTCGGTGGCGCCGTCGCCATGCTCGCGGATCCAGGCAACCATCGCAGATGAGAACGCTGGAGATCGCTCCACGGGAGCAGCTACGTACACGTGCGTGTTGTCCGGCTGCAGCGTGAAGGGATCGAGACCAACTCCGCCCAGCTCGGCCATAGCCTCAGCTGTCAGCTGGTTCGCGGCGATAATGGTGTCGAGCACAGTGGCGCCGTTTCCGTCGACGGCAGACTGGTCGAGGACGACATCCAGGGCGGCGACTGCCTCGAGGAGAGCCTTGAGGGCACCGTGCTCCGTGTTGGCAGCCGCGACATGAATGACGGGCGTATTGAATGTGGGTTCAACAGCGTTGACGTCTGCACCAGCGGTGACGAGCTCGGAGACGATGTCGGCTGAGATCGGGACGGTCGGTGAGGCGCGGAGGGCGACAAAGAGGGCGAGGGTGGCCTTGTTGATGCCGTTGGCGAGCTTGGTGGCGCCGTCAGCGTTGGCCTGCAGCGACTCGATCATGAGGTCGACAAAGACCGGCGCAGAGGATGCGGGCGAATGCACATACGCGTGCTTGTTGTCATCATCGAGATCGTAGAGGTCTGCGCCGTTGGCAAGCAGCGTGTTGAGCGCGCCGAGGGAGAGGAGGTTACAGCGGTCTATGGCATGCACCGGATGGGGCACATGGGCCTGAGCAACGTCAAGCAATGCATGGGCGTGCTGCGATGCAGGGAAGTCTGGTTGGGCGATGGTAGTGCGCGCGCGACCCAAGTCGAGGGTAACCTTGGAGCAGTTGTCCAAGCGGACGGTTGTGAGGTTGGGGCAGCCACCGGCGAGGGCGACCACTGCCGCATCGGTGATGTTGAAGCAGTTGCCCAAGAGGAGGATTGTGAGGTTGGGGCAGCCACCGGCGAGGGTGACCACTGCCGCATCGGTGATGTTGGAGCAGTTGCCGAAGCCGAGGAATGTGAGGTTGGGGCAGCCACCGGCGAGGGCGACCACTGCCGCATCGGTGATGTCGGAGCAGTTGTACAAGTAGAGGGTTGTGAGGTTGGGGCAGCCACCAGCGAGGGCGACCACTGCCGCATAAAATGATGTTGGAGCAGTTGTACAAGTCGAGGAATGTGAGGTTGGGGCAGCCGCCGGCCACGGCCACCACTGCCGCATCGGTGATGTTGGAGCAGTAGTCCAAGCGGAGGGATGTGAGGTTGGGGCAGCCACCGGCGAGGGCGACCACTGCCGCATCGGTGATGTTGGAGCAGCTAAACAAGTCGAGGGTTGTGAGGTTGGGGCACATCTCCGCCACCACCATGGCCATGGCGTCGGTGAAGGACTCATTGTAACTCGCCCCCACCTCGCCCACGCCCACGCCATTCCCCAGACCCCCAATCCCTCCTCCACCGACCTCGCCTCCTTCACGACCACCACTCGTCCAGCCCCGGTCCAACCATACTCCCTCTCCTATCTATCAGAGAGAGAGGA